CCCTCCCCCACAGTATAACCCCTGCTTTCACTGTATTTGATGTTGGTATAATTTGTGGAGGGGAAGGGAAAAGACAAATTGTTTAAATAGGGATACAGGTGGACCCATTGCAACAATGAGATGTACAAGTCGTTACATCGAAAACGAACTTTACAACTTTGGTGGGGGGTAGGGGGAGGCAGATTGGGTGTGGGTTGGGGGAGGATGGGAAGGGATGGGAAGGGGAAACAAAAGAGGAGGCTACAATGCTTGATAAGAAATGTACTCATTATCTTCCCCTCTGTACAGTATTTTCACAATAAAAAAATAAAAATAAACAAGACTCTTGTCTATTATCAAGCAATAACAATCTTAAGAATTTACCCAAATGAGTTGAAAACTTAGGTCCACACAAATGTTTTAGCAACTTCATTTATTAACTGCCCAAATATAAAGAAACCAAAATGTACCTCAGTGGGTAAATGGATCAACTTCAGGACATCTAAAAATAGGAATGCTATCTAGGACTGGGAAGGTGGCTCAGTGGTAGAGCACTTGCCTTGCATGCAAGAGACCCTGGGTTTGATTCCCCAGCACCACATAAGCAAAAAGAAAAAAAGCTGGAAGTGGTGCTGCAGCTCAAGTGGTAGAGTGCTAGCCTTGAGCTGAAGAGCTGAGGGACAGCACCCAGGCCCAGAGTTCAGGCCCCATGACCAGACCCAAAAAAAAAAAAAAAAAAGAATGCTATCTATTACTGAAAAGAAGTGATCTATTAAGCCATGAAAAGACACTAAGGAACTTGAAACATTGCAATGATAAAAGTCAATAGTCAGCACAGTGCTAAATCAATGATGAGATGCAGAAAGGCTACATATTGTATGGTTCTAACTATGGCATCTCCAAAAGCATATTGTGATGGTATAAAAGAATACTGGAGGAGAAAGGGGTGAATAGTAGAAGGCAGTGAAGTTAACGTAAAAATGTTCTCTGAGAATCCAAGACGTTTGCTTGTGCCTTACACAAGTTAGTAACCCAAATTCATGGTATGGGTAATGTGGAAAAACTTGCTAAGAATGAAATTCAGAGAGTTCCCAGAACTTCCTTGCACTGTGCCCTGAAAAGGACCCAATATTCTCCAAGGAATTTAGCAGAGGCTAAAGCACACGACTTCAACCTAATCATGATGCACAGAACATAAAGCACACTGAAGAACATCCTTTGTGTTCTTTAAAAATTCAAAAGCTGTGAAAGAGATTAAAAAGGTTTGCTGCCTACAGAGGCAGAAGTGTCGAAGTGGTAAAGCACTTGCCTCGCATGGGGAGACAGTGGCTTGGTCCCCAGCAATGCAAGTACTACTACTACTACTAAATAATCCAAAATAGAAAGCTGCCTAATAGATTCAACAACTAAATGTAGCATGTGATCCTGGGCTGGCTACAGACTGGGGGGGGGGGGGGGGGGGGGAAGTACTTTTTTCTTTTGCTATAAACATTAGTGCAAGGATGATCTTGCACGGGATAAATTCTGGGTTGAGAACGGTGTTTCACACCAGTCATCTCATGTACCAGTGTAGGTAGGAAGACTGAAGTCTGAAACCAGCTCTAGGCAAAAGTATGAAATCCTACCTCGAAAGTACTTAAAGCAAAGACTGGCTGGATGTAGGAGTTCAAACCCCAGTACTGCCTATAAATAAATTTCTATAAATTCTGTTGATTTCTATTTTGATAGTTAGTCTACAGTCACTGAAGAAAATTTCCTTCTTTATAGAAATATACACTACTTTTGCAATATACTCTCAAATGATTCAGAAAAATATTAGTAATATATATGTACTATATTCATACACACAACATACATACTTATGTGAAGAGTATATGCCCGACATAGTAAAATATTAATGGGTGGTGAGTTACGATGGATGTGTGAATGTACTCTTTTGGCAATTTTGCTAAGTTTGAAATTATTTCAAAACAAAATTTAATGGAAAAGACAAACATAAACCCTTTAAAGAGCAGCAGTTTCTAGTAAGATGTAAGAAAACATTAATATTTGTATTGACATTAATATTTAAAAGACAAACTTTTAATTTGCTCTTTCTGAGTATGTAATATATAAAGCAGTACTTGAACATAATTAATAAGAATCTTAAATTGAAAAATATAAATATATGAATCATAGCACACATGAATTGGGCTAGGTGCTAACAACTGATATTATAGAAGTGTTGATTATGCTGTGTGTGAAAATGTTGATGTAGTTACACAGAAAATTATCCTTATTTGTTAATACATATACACTGATGTATCTAGGGATAAAATGAGATGAAGTCTATTCTTTATTTCAGGGACCCCCATGTGAAGGTCAAGACCACCCTTTTCCAGCATGCCACCAAAGAGCCCAGATGGACCAATGCAAGAATATTCTGAAGAAAGAGTGCTGACCAGAGGATCCCAATCAGAAAAGCAATGGCTGCGCCAGACAGTGACAGGTAACTACTATAGAAAAAGGCCAAATCTGAGAGAGGGAAATGGGCCTTTAAAATATATTTTTATGTTTTATGTTTTCACATATGTTTTATGTGCCTTTATTAATGATGCAGCTAAAAGAGAATATAAAAATGCGGAAAGCAAAAGAACTGAAAAGTTAATACTAAAAGGGTTGGGCAGGTGATTCAGTAATGGAGTATATGCCTAGCATGCAGAAAGCCTGGGTTCTAGCCCGATACTGAAACCAAACAAACAAACAAAACCTAACACAAGTAAATTATTACTAATAGTACTAGACAAAATAAACTATCACAAAAAGGCAGAAGTAATGCTGAAGACAGCCTATATGACAGGGCCAAAACACAAGGAAAATGAAATAATTTGAAACTTGAGTCTATCTAGTAACAGTCTCAAAACACAAAACAGAATAAACAAAACTATGTAAGAAAGAGAGAAATCTAGGGCTGGGAAGGTGGCTCAGTGGTAGAGTGCTTGCCTTGCATGCCTGAGGCCCTGAGTTCAATTCCTCAGCACCACATAAGCAAAAAGAAAAAAGCCAGAAGTGGTGCTGTGGCTCAAGTGGTAGAGTGCTAGCCTTGAGCTGAAGAGCTGAGGGACAGTGCCCAGGCCCAGAGTTCAGGCCCCACGACCAGACCCCTCCCCCCAAAAAAAGAGAGAAATCTGCAGTCATAAGGGTTGATTTCTAATAGTCCTGTCTTGATTTATAGTAAGACAAATATAAGTCCTAGACAATGATGATTGCAATGACACCATTAACAGACTTGACTTAATGGATAAAAACAGATCATAGTGCCCAACAATTGACATGTTTTTAGGCAAACATGGAACATTTATAAAAACTCCATTCTAGACTATAAGACAAATCTCAATAAATGTTAAGATACTGGAGTTATATAGACTATATTTATTTTACCAAGATGCAATCAAATACAAAAATCATTAATAAAAGAAGCTGGGAACATTAAGACCACACAGTTGGTAAGCATAAAGTCTGAGAGCAAACCCTAATACTATAAAAAATATACAAAAAAAAACTCACAAAAACTTTAGATTTGGAAATTTAGACTTGTTGAAATAACTCCCAAATCAAGCAAAAATCATAATGGAAATTAGGAAATACTGAGAAATTAATGTAATGGAAATACTGTATGTTAAAAGTTATAAGAGTAAGTTGGGCACTGGTGGCTCACGCCTGTGCTGAGATCTAAGGATCTCAGGTCAAAGCCAGCTGGGGCATGAGACTCTTTATCTCCAATAAACTACTCGAAAACTGGAAGTGGCGCTGTGGCTCAAGCAGTAGAGTGCTAGCCTTGAGCTGAAGAGCTGAAGAACAGCACCCAGGCCCAGAGTTCAAGCCCCATGACTAACAACAACAACAACAACAACAAAAGTTATAAGAGTAAACATATGTTACATGTTAAAAGTTATAGTAAGTTGGAAGTTAAAAGTTACAGGGCTTAGCTGAAGCAGTGAAGTAGAATTCATACACACTGTGAAATACATAGTGTGAAAAGAAGGTAGATTTTAATGGAATAGGCATCAAACTAAAATGTCAGAGCAGAAAAATGTCAAATGAAGGAAATACTAAGAGCAGAGTAAAAATAAATATAATGAACATGCAAATGAGAAGATCGATAAGTAATCCTGGATGGACCTCTTGAGTTAGCAAGCTTCTTAGAAGACTATTGAGAGGAAGCAAGAGAAAGGGCACAAATAATCCATAAGAAGAATGAAGCCTGGAATTTGAAAGTTAAAAAGAAGATAACTATGAGCATCTTGATGTCAACTACTTGGAAAACCTAGATAAAATAAACACATGTGCCAGGCATGGTGGCTCACATCTGCTATAATACTTATTATTCAGGAGACTGAGACCTGAGGATCCTGTTTCAAATCGAGTAAGTCTGATATACTCATCTCCAATTAACCACCAAAAAACTGCAAGTGAAACTGTGGTTCAAGTAGTACAGCACTAATTGTCAACAAAAAAACCTTAGGGACAGCACCCAGGCCCTGAGTCCAAGCCCTAGGACCTAATACACAAAAAAATACTTCCCTCTATCAATTACTCAGGAAATAAGTTAATAATATTAGTATTACATAGCCATTCCAAGACCCTTCTCTCATCCTAGAACCTGTTATACTGCAAGTACTGCAATAAATGTATTATCTCCTTATCTACTATCCCTAGAGGCAGAACGTTGGAAAATGCTAGCTCAGACAAGTTAGAATACAGGGCTCAACACTGCATGGCAAATTACATCAAATGACCTGTAAGCTCTGTACAATTCAGAAATAAGTGTACAATTCAAAAGTAAGTTAACCATAGACTTGCAAACACTTTCAAGATGGTTTTCACTGAATACAAACATGGGGCATCTTCTGTAACACCACAATCCTTTTTTTTTTTTTTGTTATTTTCACTTCAAAGCTAAATCTCACCAATTATAAAGATTTACTGTTTCTAATTCCTCACCACAGATAATCATTTCCAGGAAGAAAAATGTTTATCTGTTTGTGGAACTACCAAGAAATTAAACTGCTCCAAGTTGAGGGTCTTGTGTTTTTAGGGAGAATTGGGACAACTCCAGCAGCTGCAACAGAAGTAGATAGTTCCACCTCAGATCAGAAGAAAGATTCCGAGGTTGTCACACACCTCTAGATCTTGTTTTGAAAATGAAAAGCTGACACTAACAGGAAAAAAACCAAACAGCTTTCATTATCAGAACAAAACAACACTGATTGCTTTGCACTCGTCTTTGTGACAAGCGATTTCTGCTAAGAGCAGAGGCTACTTAGAAGGGGAGAAGTTCAGATACAATAAATCCTCCAGAGCCACTCTCACCTTAACGACAGTCACATCCATGCCAGACAAATGTAAAATAGGGGCAGCATTCTTCTCAAACAGAGTTCTGGCTTTGCTGTGGAGAAAGGGAAAAAAATACATATATAATTACTTTAGTATACGTTTCCAAGAAGAATGAAGAAAAACAACCACCTTTTTCGGAGTTGAGTAAGACAAACTATGGAATCGGAGTTTCTTTTATATATGTTCAAGTACAGGAAGCTCAGCCCTGAGGAATGAGATACTACAGAGAGTTCTCACCCTACAGCCAGTTCTCACCCATGTGGGATGGTTACAGCTCACACCCGGGCAGCATTATGGCTTGATTCAGAGCCACCCATTTACTGAGTGACAGACACAGGTGTAGGTGGGCTCACAACATGGCAGTGCAGACAGGAATAGGTATCCCTGTGGTTCAGTCACACAGTCTACTGTAACATTACGCATATGGCCCAAGGGATAGAACAAATAAAACACAATATTACTTAATTCTAAGCCAGTGAACTCAATCTTTTGGATAAGAAATACGCCTTTTTTTCATTTCTTTTTTTTTTCTTTTTTTAAATCAGTCAGGGGGCTTGAACTCTGGGCCTGAGCACTGTCCTTCAGCTCTTCAGCTCAAGGTGAGCTCTCTACCACTTGAGCCACAGCGCCACTTCTGATTTTCTGGTTGGTTACTGGAAATAAGAGTCTCATGGACTTTCCTGCCAGGGCTGGCTTTGAACCGTGAGGATTATACCATGAGCCACCAGCGCCTGACTACCATTTTTAACTACCTCAAAAGCTACATATCTTTTTTTTTTTTCCTTTTGGGCAGTACTGAGGTTTGGGTTCAGGCCTTACACCTGCTGAGCAGATACTCTACTACCTGAGTCATGCCTCTAGCCCTTTTTTGCATTGGTTTTTTTCAGGGTGGGGTGTCTCTTTAGGCTCAGGCAGGGCTGGACTATGATCTCCTACTTTTGCTTCCCTGTTTTGCAGGCATCCCTGCGCCCAGCCACTGGGCTACCCCCACATCCCCCATAAATGGAATAACAGGCATATGCCATCTTGCCCAACCATTTGCTGCCCAGGCTGTCCTCAGATTCTGACTCCCCAGTCTCTGCTTCTCAAGTAGCTAGAAATACAAGCTTAAGCCATCTCGCCCAGTTGATCTCCACATCTTGAGTGCGCCAGGGGACAAAGCAGAATTTTTCTCCATGATGGCAGGAAAGGAAAGTTCAAAATGATCCGGTGTAACTATAGGTTAATTAATCAAAGCTAATTGTGCCTTTCTCTGTGTTCCAGGTCTTGACATGGCCCTCCAAAGCAACGTGCAGTGTGTGGTGATTAGATTTCCAATACTATCTTCAGAATAGAAACTTTGAAAAACCAAACACCAGACCTTACTCGTTCTTGTATCTCCTACCTTCTAGAATTATTTATGGAATACTTCAGAAGTACTGATAAATATCTGATATGTATCTGATAAACCAAAACACAAATGAGTAAATAAGCTTGTTTGCAACATTAAGGAGATGGCTAGATTAGAGTATCCAGCAATCAATCATTGAATGGTCTTTCGGTGGGTTTGGGCATTTCAAAAATATCACAAACATCCTTCTGACAATAAACTCTTCTCCAATTTAAGTCAAAATTCAAAAAACAATCTAGAACTCAAGGGATACTAAAGTTACAAAAAGTCTCTCCACAAATGGCATAGTGTCAAAATCAAATAAATGTTAAAAACATACTAATTAGTTGATCTGTCTTTTACTTGAAACACTTTCAACTATTACCTAAGAGTACTTCCAATCAATGTTAAATGCCTTACTTTTACATCCATATTCACTCAATCTTCTTCCTAAAAAACCTTTTCTCCAAATAAATAATTTGCATGTTTTGACTTTCTTAGGGATATTTTATACTAAAAAGAAACAGAAACATAGCTAATGAGGAGTTCTCATAATTACACAAAGACCAAATTTAATATGCTCAAAACTGAAAATATATAACCACACAGAACACAAAAAATGTATAGCACACAGAACACAAAACATTTCTCACTATGAACAAAAACTGACAGCGAGAAAAATCTTCACACCGGGAGCTGGTGGCTCACGCTTGTAATCCTAGCTACTCAAGAGGCTGAGATCTGAGGATCGCAGTTCAAAGCCAGCCCGGGCAAGAAAGTCTATGAAACTCTTATCTCCAATAAACCACCAGAAAACTGGAAGTGGCGCTGTAGCTCAAGTGGTAGAGCGCTGGCCTTGAGCTGAAGAGCTGAGGGTCAGTGCTCAGGCCCGGAGTTCAAGCCTCATGGCTGACAAAGAAAAATCTTCACAAGAACCTTCAAAGGCCTACATGAGCATGTTATAAGCAAATAAATCACACCCTACATTTTCCACGGCCTGAATAATAAGTAAAGCATGGGAAAGGCGACAGTTAGGCTGCCTTTCCTGCTCGCCATTTCTGGGCACGTATCCTAACAATAATGGGTTGAGCAGGCCATACTTGAACAATCCTCCTTTCAGGCTTGCTTTCAGTGCTGGAATGATAGGAACAGACGTTTGAAGATGGATCAGCTCTATTTCCTAAAAACAAATCTTTGAAGAGGTCATACTCTGTCATATTAATTACAACCAATCTGCAAACTTCTCCAAGTTACTTTTAAAAAAGAAAAATTTCAAAGTTTTGTGCTTATTCATGTCTTTGTGTGATGCCAGAAAAAAAATCTCCAAAAATAAGGGTGATACCTTTTCCTTCTAACATTCTATAAAAGGATTGAGGAACAAGTGTTGCCAGTAAGAAATACATTATTTATTATATAATTAAGAGTGCAACAACACCAGGGCTAAATAAAAACTTTATGTACTTATAGCAATTTCCAGGCTCAGGCACACACAAAATAATTACTCTTTAATGTATTATTTATTAATGCTAAACACACAGTTATCTTATTTCGTAGAGCTCTTTTGAAGTTTTAAACTAGTACTGCATAATGAAATAGCTAGATGTTAAATTATAAATTACATGTCAAGGCAGAGCATGAAGACAAAAATAGTGCGATTAAATAGTGAAATCTTTAAAATAAAGAAGTTGCTGGGAGTTTCAGAGTGGCCATGTCCTAGATGCACACACAATTCACCTTGCTGAAGGAGACAAAGCGTGCAGGGAAGGAAGACTGCACCTGGCGGCAGATCCCTCGCCTGCCTTCAGACAAAGACAGGCATTATTCCTACACTTGTCCACAAGAACACATAGCTAAAAATGGAAACCCATTTACATGTCAAAATAAGCAGAATCTAAAACTGCTCTGAAAAAAATCCATTTATTGATTTTTAAAAAAAAATCCATGCTCCAACGTGTGTTTGGTATGTGTGAGGTCCTGGGATGACACCCCAGCACCAAAAAGATAAAGATAAAAATGACATACCCCTCAGAAGGAGAAACTCATGGTAATGGAATATATCTTAAGCAAACTGCCAAAACGACCAAATTAGGAACTTACTAGATCTCTGAAGGAATAACGCACAGAACCGCTAGGTGAAAGTAGGGTCAAGTAAGTTGCAGGAGAGGTGCAGGGGCTCTTGGGAAGTGGGGCAGAGCAAATTGCACTGCCCTGGCCTGGCTCTTGCCAGCACTAATAACAGCAACAGCCAGCTTTCTATGACGCAGAAACAGTGCTTTAGGATTCCCCAGGCATTAGCTCACTTAAATTTGACAGACACTCTATATGGCTATTTGTTAAGGTATGTAATAGTACTTTGAGTCTGCACCTGAGTAAACTGTGGACTTGTAAGTCCTCCTCCAGAGTTAGTGAGGAGCAATCAAAAAACCCACGCTGTTCTCTTGTAACTAGGTACCTTACTCATTTTGGCTGTATTGTGTTGGTTGGTGTTGTTTAGTTCTGGAATGAAACAAGAAGGATCTATAGGCCTGAATTGTAATTCATCACAATTGAAGTGTTTGCAGGGTAAATAGCAAAGTCTAGAGAGTTGATTCACTAGGCAGGGTAACAAGTACTCCATTTAGACAATGCATTGGTAATTTGGGAAGGGGGCAACAAGTACTAGGATTTGAACTCACAGTCTCATGCCTTGCAGTAAGCAGATGCTCTACCACTTGAGTCATGCCCCAGCCCTTTCCACTTTATTTTTTTGAATAGGATCTCATGGTTTTGCCTGGGGTGAGCTTCTTGTGATCCTATTTTCCCCCCAGAGCTGGGATGAGAGGCAAACCATCCCATTCAGCTTTATTGGTTGAGATGAGATCTTGTTAACTTTTGCCCAGACTAGCCTCAAATTGAGTTCTTCTGATTTCCATCTCCCATATCGCTGGGATTAGAGGCATAAGCCACTGTAGTTGGTTCATTTTTAAGAAACAAGGTTTCACTAACTCTTGTCCTGGCTGGCCCTAAACTGTGAAACTCCTGTTTCCACCTCCCTAAAGAATTTAGGGATTAACCACTGTACCTGATCCTGTGCTTAAAACTCTTTTTTTTGTCAGTCATGGGGCTTGAACTCTGGGCTTGAGCGCTGTCCCTGTGCTCTTCAGCTCAAGGCAAGCGCTCTACCACTTGAGCTACAGTGTCACTTCCAGTTTTCTAGTGGTTTATTGGAGATAAGAGTCTCACGGACTTTCCTGCCCAGGCTGGCTTTGAACCACAATCCTCAGATCTCAACCTCCTGAGTAGCTAAGATTACAGGCATGAGTCACCAGCACCCAGCTCTGTGCTTAAAACTCTTAAACTGCTCAATTAAAAAGTAATAGGCATAAAGCTGGGCACTGGTAGCTGACACTAGTAATCCTAGCTACTTAGGAGGGTGAGATCTGAGGATCACAGTTCGAAGCCCCAGCAGGCAGGAAAGTCTATGAGATTCTTATCTGCACTATCAAAAAAGCCAGAAATGGAACTATGGCTCAAGTGGTAGAACATCATGGCTTTGCCTGGGGTGAGCACAAAAATCAGGGGCAGGGCCCCATGCCCTGAGGTCAAGTCCCAGGACAGGCACAAAATAATTAATAATAATAATAACAATAATGATAATAATAGGCATGATTGTCTTCTTATCTGTGAAGTCACAGAAGAAATGCAGAGAAAAACTGACTGCAGAGCCCTGCTTTTTCTTACTGTAGACAACAGTAACCTACCACCACGAACTGGTTATTGTTCCTATCCTGATGACACCCGACGTCCATCTTATGGAATCCAATCTAATACATATTCTTTCCTCACAAAGGCCAAACACACTGGAGTAGCCTTCGTTCTATTTTTTAAACATAAATGTCAAATTATTTCCTTCAAAGCCATCGAGGTCTTTACATTTACCCTTCCAACTGAATGAGAGCATCATCTGACATTGTATGACTTTTATTTTTCTTGTCGATGGCATTTTTTTTAAGTATTTGTTTTCATCAGCAGACGCTGAATTCCCACATCCACAGCCCTCTCCTTTTCAGTGTGCCACCGCTGGATCAATGAACCAATAGACGTCATTAGCTATCAAAGTCCTAACTAATTTTTACACTTTGATTTCCCTATCAACATGACAATTACAGACTGCTTTGTGATGTGACAAGCATAGAACCAGGTCATCCCCATCCCTTGGGAAGAATGTTCTGCCCTCCGGAGTCCACAATGCCTTGGCTATCTACAGAGAGGGCCTAAAGACTTGTGTCACATGACAGGGCAGTTCTCACAGAGACTGAGTCCAAGCAAATAAGTCTGTCTTATACCAGTTAATTCTGGAGAATTATTATATTTCAACTCAACAGGTTTGCTAAGCATTACCTCACTTTACAGTTATTTCACATTATTATTTCTACATTGTGAACTGACTTTCAGTATTTCCCCCCCTTAAAAAATAGAATATATAATCAATCACAGAGTAATCTACCCTTTGCAAGCTGCAGGATTGAGAAAAACAGTTGCTTTCTTCACTTGTGCATTGGGAGGAATGAGTTGGTTACCGAACACCTAAAAAGAGAAAAAGAAAAGTTTTCAGTAAATGTCCTTTCATTCAGCTAGTGATCACATATAGTCTTTCATTCCAAGAGTTTGCTTCCAGCAGATGAGTGATCTACTCTGAGAAAAATACCTATGTTCATTTGTGATCTAATAATAACAAAACACCACAAAAAACAATGTACCATTATTCAATATGCAATAAGCTAATCTTGAACCTGTATAAAAATGTTGCTTTACCAGCCAGGTGCCGATGGCTCACGCCTATAATCCTAGCTACTCAGGAGGCTGAGATCTGAGGATCACGGTTCAAAGCCAGCCCGGGCAGGAAAGTCCGTGAGACTCTTATCTCCAATAAACCACCAGAAAACTGGAAGTGGCTCTGTGGCTCAAGCGGTAGAGCGCTCACCTTGAGCTGAAGAGCACAGAGACAGTGCCCAAGCCCAGAGTTCAAGCCCCATGACAGACCAAAAACAAAACAAAACAAAAATGTTGCTTTACCTACTTGGAATAACTTTCTGTTTCTATATAAAATATGGTGAGATTTATTACAAATGTAAGCAGTAAGGCTGTCAGAAGGGATATTTAATCCACACGCCCTTAGTTTCAGCATGCAATCTGATTAAATTTATACTATAACTTAGTCCTGAAGAATTTGGGTTGCCAATTAAATTTCATAGCTTTACACATATAAGAAATTAGCCAAACTAGATCATGTGTCATTCCTGTAATCTTAGCTAATTAAGAGCTGAGGTCCAGGAGATCATGCTTTGAGGCCAGCCTGGTAAGAAGTTTATGCAACCTCATCTCAACCAATAAAAAACTGGGTACAGAGGGACACCCTTGCTATTCTAGCTATGGAAGGGAGGGGTGGAGGAAGCAAGACCCTATTTGAAAAATAACAAAAGCAAAAAGGGCCAGGGGCATGGCTCAATTACTGAAGTACCTGCCCAGTGAGCACAAGACTCCAAGTTCAAACTCCAGTAGGGCAAGAAGAAATACTCTATTTGCCTCTCCTCTGCAATGCTGTATCGCAACTAAACAGCAGCAACTAGCATGGGAAGGGTGATGTCACTAATAGTAAACACCTGGTATTTGACATTTTTACATACAATGATCCTAGCTCTCGGAAACAATGGAAGTATATTCAGTAATCTCATTTTTACAGATTAGAAAGCCAAGACTCCAAAGGATTAAGTTAGTCAACATTACAGGGTTAATAACTCACAAGCCTAGAAGTGGAGGTATCTGCCTTTAGTAAGAATAGTGGTTCATTCCTACTTGATCAGAAAGATTTAGGTTCAAGGCTAGCCAAGGTAAAACATTAGTGGGACAGTAGCTGGGTGTGGTGATCACAAGTATAATGTAAGCTACTTGGGAAGCACAGGTAGAAGGATGGCAGTCCTGACTAGCCCTGAGAGGCAAACAAATGAGCCCATCTGAAAAATAACCTAAAGTAAGAAGAAGCTGGGATATGGCTCAAATGTAGATTACTTGTTTACCAGGCCCTGAGTTCAAACTCTAGTACTACCACAACACCACCCCCCAACACACAGACACACAAACAAGGATGTCTGAGGTGGGAATCACTTCAAATTTAATATTAAAGTTTATTTGATAATTACCTTGATTTGATCATGGTATATACTACATACTTGTATCAAAGTATATTATACCCATACATACAGTGTCAATTTAAAAATAATTTCAAAATTTAAAGTTTATTTTAACTGATTTCTAAAACAACTTGAAGCCATATATTTAAGCAAAACTATAATCAAATTCTTAAAACCCACATTCAGATGGGCTCTAATGGCTTACTCTTGTAAGCCTAGCTACTGAGGAGGCTGAGATCTGAGGATCAAGGTTCAAAGCCAATGCAGGCAGAAAAGTCCATGAGATTCTTACCTCCAACTAGCCAGAAGTAGAGCTGTGGCGTAAGTGGCAGAGTACCAGACTTGAGTGAAAAAGTCAAGTAAGAGCATGAAAGGATCAGGAGGCACGCATGCATGCATGCATGCATACACGCATACACACACACACACATATTCTCATTCAGAACATTTTGATAACATCAACTCAGGAGAAGAACTTACTACTATTATCTTATTCCTGATCCCCAGGAAATCTGTCAGAAACAAGCAGGAGGCTTGCCATCCCTTTGTAAGTGCTTCATTCCTCTGTCATTTGTACCATGGGTTTATCATTTTCTTTTGTACTTCTGACATCATAAGCTTAGATGACATATAGGTAAAAAGGCAAATGAGTCATAGCTATCACTTGTCAGGCCAAATGGGGAAGGCAAGACAGTGGTCTTGAATTGGAAAGGATTCAACTGTAATCATGGAGCAGATGAATGGACACTTAAGTAGACTACCACGGAACTGGGGTAATGAATGGGTGGTGTTAAAGAGATGGGCGTAAAGTCAGAATCAACAATTTGAAGATGATTTGACTTTCAGAGTCAATGCTGGCTCTGAACTGATATCCCTAGGGACCATTCAGAGCTGGGCCAGATCTTCAAGGACAACTGCAAACACAGCAAATTCCCAGAGCTTCAGAGGGTTAGTTTGTGTTCTCGGGAGTGATCCAGAAGTAAACAAGCCTAACAGGATGGGCGTTAGAACTGCTCTTCGCCAGATGGTTAACTTCCCTTCGCGCAGCTCAGAGTTGGCTCGAAGCCTGATTCATCCCCAGATAGTGGGGAAAAATAGCCAAACTGCACGGAGGCAAGATCCTGTGCATGTCCCAGGAGTACTGTGGGCTTCCTGCTCCGTGGAGATAAGAGGGTTTAATTTTCTTACAGGAAACGGCATTACCTGAGCTTCTTGACAGGCAGCTCTCCTTAGCAGGTTATCGCTATCAAAGCAAACAAAAAAGAAAACCAACATCAGTTTCTATACAGCAGATTAAGACCCAACCAAATTCTGTGGGATTTGCACCTCTTCCTTATAAATAATCAAGTCAGACCTGATAACAAATCATGGGCACATTTGAAAAATACATCCTCTGAAAGAAACTTTAAATGAAATACTTCTATAGTATCACAGGCAAAACAAAGTTTCTTCCCCAAAATGGCCACCTTCTGACCCCAAGTTCTTGAAGACACATGACTTTACATAGCAAAGAGGCTTCAAAGATGAGATTAAATTTAGGACTTGGAGATCAGACGGCTATTCTGTATTATCTAGATGGATTCACTCTTCCCATGAGGTGCTTAGCACAGAACAGCTTCCCTGCCTGGGGTCAGAGCAGATGGGACTCTGGAAGGTTGTGGAAGAGGCTGAGAGCCCAGGAATGTGGCACAGCTCCCAGGAAGCAGGGAGACAGAGAGGTGGCTTCTCCCCAAGTGCCCCCTCAAGTCCTTGCTGGCATTTTGATTTTAGCCAGGGAGACCTAATCCTCATAAGATAATAAATTGATGATGTGTTAAACCACGAGGCCTGTGGTAATTTACTAGTCAAACACAAAAAACTAATATACACATCCTGAATTTTTCTTTTCAAGGGGAAATCACTGGGACTGTTTTGGCAGAAACAAACTTGTTGTCGAGTTGCTTCTGCTATTTTCTCGAAATCCCTCTTCTTTATATCACCATCAGACAATCAATTATATCACAAATGGGAAATTTTGTCAAGAGGCAAAATTTTGGGTTCCACAAATGAAAGCATTCCCAGCACCAGATCACCTACTTAGCATAACCATCTCTAAAATATACCAAGGAGAGCAGCACTGACAGTCCACAGGGCCAGAGCACATGCTGGAATCTGCACTTGTGCATGCTGCTACGATGAGAACTTCACCTGGCTAACAGCAGGCAAGAAAACCAGTACCCAAGAAGCATGCCCACTAACCAATTTGTAAGAAAGAATTTAAAAGGGGGAAAAGGGTTATTCCCCTTATATTCTTTTCCCTGAACACATTTTATAACATTGGAGACCTTAAATTTTGCATTTGAGTCATTCAAAATCTAATCTGAATACTGAAGACTGAACAAGGCATGAAAATTAAAAAAATCCGCAGCTTTTTGCCTTAATTGTAGCCCAAGGCTGCTGGAAGATGCTGTCCACAGCCAGACTATGGAGCACCCCAACGGCCCTGGGCAGCCAGCCTCAGGAAGACAGCACTGTCCCAAGGGAGGCCCTGGTGGCATCAATGTGAACCTGAAGTTAAAATGGCATGAGTACCTCTGAGGCCCTGCTCTCTGATAGCGATCTGGGAGATTTTCCCCTTGTGAGGTGGCGCCCAGGACAAGCTGGCCACCAGGCCCAGGACTCAGCTGCTTATGTGACTCTGAGCTATGGCTATCCAGGTGGCAGCGAGCTGTGCCACCTTCCTGCCCCACACCCCAGACTCACAAATCCTTACCCTCTGCAGTTCCTTCTGCATCCCTCCCGATCAAATACCCATGGCAAGTCCTTCAAAAACCAGCAACAACAAGAAAATACCGTATGATAAACTAAAATCAGCATATAAAACTACTCAACTATAAAAATAAGTGACATTTCACAAGCCTAGATAGTTTACTTACACTTCATATCTATGGCCTTCTAAACACTGAAGAAGTAAAACCCTGAGTGCACAGTAACCTCTGGATCACAGAGTAACACGAAGCTCCCGTAGGACCAGGGCCACGGTCACTAGATCTCCACCGGCCTCTCATACCTGTCTCCCCAACAACCTGTGCCCAATGGTATTTGGTTTGGTTTGGTTTTTCTAATAGGTCATTTCCCATATCTCCAATCTCTTTCCAAAGAACTCATCCTGTAGGTAGGTCCTTTTCAATAAGCCTTCCAGGCCTGTGGAAAGTTACAAACCTGCCTCTCCCTTCCAGTCTATTTTCTCTACTGCTTCCATTTAGGTTCCTCCCTGACTTAGAGGCTGATCTCTGAAGACCCCCTTCCCATAGATAGCCAACTCATTACTTCAAATACTTTGTATAAGATAACCAAAATCACTGGTATAGGATACTAGAATCGTTACTTCAAATACTTAGTACAAGATAATGGCTGTAACAGCCCAAAATGGAGATGTGGCTCAATTGGCAGAGTGCCAGCTTTGAGGGAAAAGGCTAAACAAGAGAGCCAGGTCCTGAGTTCAAGCTCCAGTACCAGCCAAAAAAGAGTTCAGGCGAACAAAGTTCCAGAAAGTTGTTGGTTGTTGAAACAAACTCAACACAAAGACACAAAGTGCTGGGTTTGACACAATGAACAAGAGTTGATCCTGTCTTGAAGTTGAGGACCAAGTAAGTAGTAGAGTCTTGGTAAATATGATGGCATATGTCAGACTAGGAATATGTAATATGCTGGCGGAAAGCCCAAGATTCCCTGGCCTCGTGAAGTTTGAAGTTCAGAGAGAAGACGGGTTATGAGGATGCCACACTGTTTGCATGTGCAGCATCAAAGGGGATGCAGCATGTAGCATGTGCTGCATCATTGGGGAGGCAGCCAATATACTGTTGCAATTAGAAAAGGCTTTCACAGGAAGTGACCCTGAAACTAAGAGCCAAGGGAGAAACAGAAAGTAGACTCTAAGCAAAGGAAATAGCCTATTAAAAGCTTGTAAGTGGAAAACGGATGGAACTAGAGATCATCATGTTAAGTGACAAAAACCAGTTTCACAAAGATAAGTATTTCATATGTGGAAAGAATTAGAGGGGAGGGGGGCAGAGTAGAAGGGACTAAGGACCAGTCAGAGGCACAGGTCTGGAATTCCAGGCAGCAATCTCCACTAAATGGCAATGGATGGGGTGAAATGGATAAAGAAAATGTACATGAATGGGTGAGGGAGAAAAACAGAAGCAGCTGCAAGAGAGGAGATACTCTGAGTACTAGCACAGCTGGCAGAGCATGCCAAGTAAATCTCAAGTAAACTGGCACTGCCTTCCATTTGGAAGGCAAAGAAAAAGCTGATGGATAATTGAGGAAGAAAAGCCAGTTTCCATCTACCATCATTCTTCTCGATGTAAAGCTTGGTAAGGTACATGCTCTGATGTTCTCAATGGTACTTTGATTTTTATACCTCCAAAGGGTAGATCATTTTTTTCTTTCCCCCTGGGGGAAAAAAAAGCTAAGTACAATACCGCATATGTCTTTAAACACAATCCTCCAACCCCACAAATCCACCTTTTATCTTCCTGTATAGATTATAAATTTCTTTTTTTACTTTTTTTTTTGGGGGGGGGAGGTCTGGTCATGGGGCCTGAACTCTGGGACTGGGCGCTGTCCCTCAGCTCTTCAGCTCAAGGCTAGCACTCTACCACTTGAGCCACAGGCACCACTTCCAGCTTTTTTCTTTTTGCTTATGAGGTGCTGAGGAATCGAACCCAGGGCCTCATGCATGCAAGGCAAGCGCTCTACCACTGAGCCACCTTCCTAGCCCAGATTATAAACTTCTTAAAATCATGGATAATTCGTAACAGCCTACAGGACAGACACTTGTAGATAGGAGGGAATCAATAACTACTTGTTAATAAGTGGCAAATGGCTGAACAGGAAAAACTGACTGTATTCAGACAGACCAGCTTTGTTCTAGAAGGAAAAGCTAAGGTTAATCTTTTTTTTTTTTTTTTTTGCCAGTCCTGGGGCTTGAACTCAGGGCACTGTCTCTGAGATTCTTTTTGCTCTAGACTAGCACTCATTGGCAAGTGTGGGAATCTTTATGGGATAGTACAGCATGAAAAGTCAAACTGCCACTGAAACTCTGCCAGGTCAGGAAGATCTCAGGTCTATGGATGTATATTCATGTGCATTCATATGTGTACATGTGTGTAACAGAATTAGTTCCCTTGAAAAGGGCTAGGTGTAGATTCCTTTGCGTGCTACTAGGAAGCACAAGAATTCTTTCAGTGTCTGATTGTCAGAAAACTCCAGATTGCTAATGCATCAAGAATCCAAACTTGAGCTAAAGACCTTGCTACCAAACAAGGTACCTCTATAAATTGCAAGCCCAGGCTCTTTCCACTAGACCGAGCTGTCTCCAGGGAGCTGAAGTTAAACGCAATTTACAAGAGGTGCTACAAATGTAGTCATATCAGAAAGGGTCCCTGAAGATCTGCTCAGTACCGAAACGCAAATTCTTTGACAGAAAGAAATGAGAAGCCTCTGGATTAGAAAATGAACAAAACCTGCTGATGTCACTGCCTGAGGCTTTAGAAGCATATGAACATGCCCGCCACTACAGGTAATGGGATGCTCTCAATTTATTCCAAGCCATGAATGTTTTATTTATTACTTTAAGACTGCAAAATAAGATAAGTTGCCATTTCAATAACAACTTAACATGGAGAGAAAAATCACATCGATCCAACCTATTTCCCAAAAAGGATACTTCCCACTACAGTCTAGAGGCAAATTGTACAGCGATTTCTACCATGAGCTTTTCCCTTGGTGCATGCAAACACAGTCTTTGCTTTGCAACAAAATAGATTTCAAGTTGAGATGTTTATAACTAGCACTTCAACTTATCTAAGCTTCCTAGAATAATTAATCATCCCATGGCCAGTGGCTGTGCCCAGTGGTTTTCCACAGGGCAGCAGGAAGGGAGTGGAAACACAGAAAATTTATAAATGAATCATAGCAAGGTAGAGGCAAAAGGGGAGATCTGTCTAAGAATACTCAGCACAACCCTTTCCCCTGCCCTGACTCCACCCAAACAGTGAAGATTGCTGCAGTGGGCTTTTTATCATGGAATTGGTGACCAGCTGTGCCTAAAAGAGGCTGGAACTGGGAAGGAAATGCAGCCTGCTGAGAAAGAACAGTCCACCTTTGGTCCTAAAGAACATCCTTTTGGGTAGGAGAAAATAGCTTGACAGAAAACCAAGGGGACAAAGAAAGTGCTAATGGTTTTTTTGTTTTGTC